TTGCGGAGTTAATGCATGGACTTTAATAAAATAACGCCCTCAAAACGTGATTAATTATGTTGCGTCAATTGATTCAAGGGACTTAATAATTGAGGTTTTCATACAGTTGTAACAAATCGTTTGAGTGTTTCGATTTAAAAACTTTGACCGCCTGAAAAAAGATACGTGCATTTTAAATTAAAAATTGATTTATAAGAATTTTATTTTTAAGAAGAAAAAGTAGATATAAGTAAAATTATTACCACTAAATCCCAAAAGGTAAGTGTACGGTTTCTTTAGATTTACTTACTTATATCTACTAGTAATACAAAATTGTAATAGTAATACAGAGAAAAATAAATGTATTATTATTATATTATAATTTTAATGCTAGAAAAATAAATGTATTACTATTATATTATAATTTTTGAAGGTCTTTGTTTTCGTTTAAACTCAAAATATAATAATAATTTGTAATAAACCATTTCTCACTGGAATTTCGTATCAACATACTTTTTGCTTAGGTATGTGCAATTCTAAGCTTTTTCTAAGCTCTTTGCTACTAAAAGTAGATCATTACAAGAAACTTTTTAAAGTAAAACATAGATATTTTAATGACTACATGTACAATTAAGAATACATTGACTATATATAGTGATCCAACTGTGTTCCGCCTGTCTCAGCATCTGATGTGGTCACCCTAGCATATAAGTATGGTAAATTAGCAAAAAATAATGACAAGACAAGACGCCGCCGCTGCGTTGGCGCGGACGTAAGCGGTTTCTTACGATATGACCGCATTGCCCTATCATCCTGTACGTGAATACATGGATGTACAAAAGATCGGTTAATTGTGAATATGGTAATCCATTAAATTCAATCATTCTGTTCTAATGATTCTCCAAGTATAATGTATTGCAAAAAGAGCGGAGTTCGCATTGACAAGAGTGTTCAAAAAACCCCGTTAGATGGAGCATATCGTGCGAGGTCAGGGTGTGGAGCACTCCCTACTGGATCCTAGGCTTTTCCCGCAAAGTGAGGGTGCAAAGACGGCGTTTAATGGTTGTGCCATCCGAATTTTAAAAAACCTTTGGGTGGATCCGTGCAAATGTAGAGATACCAACATATCCCTTGCCACCTGTCAAGCAGCAGGGATAGTGCTTAAAGCATTCTCAGCAGCAAAAAATAGAGGAGCATGTAGTAAGAACAGGTATAGATATTGTAAATCACACAGACATCTCTTAGATAACTACGCTTACTATTTATATTGCTTTTTAACTTTGAAATAAGTCATGTACACTCCTGAATGAACCGAGGCAATCAATCAATCCAAGACTAAGTCAGGCTTTATTCCAGAAGTAAATCTCTCTACTTTTCGCATCTTTTGCTAAAAGTTAAAAAGAAAGTACTACAAAAATATTTTGTAGATATTAAAAATTAAATTTGATGATTCCATTTGATTTCAGTGACTTTATTCTACTTCATAAGACTTTATTCAGCTTTATTCGATTTCAATCTACTTAGGATTGCAAGATGAACATACTTATTTTATTTAATATTTTACTAAGACAGTGCCGAATTACTAAAGATGATTTAAAAAATAACATTCCGTTAGGTAGATATATGAATTGAGTCAGTGATATTCAAGGAACTTTTATTCATTTAGTATTATGAAATCAAGCGCGGGAATTTGTTTAAAAGTCTAAGTAAAAAAAAGCTTTGAAAGGTATTTCCATTACTTGGATACCGGAACAATTTATTAGTGTGTAAATAAATTTATATCTAATAAATATTAAAAATAAATAATTAATGAAAGTTCGCAGCTAAAAAAAATCTATTATATAAACCACAATCATAGTTTTGAAATGAAATACGCCGCATTTTGTCCAGAAGTTAATCATATTTTTAAAGACAAGAATTATAAGTTATTCACATTTATATATTTTAAAATTACAATCTAAATCAATATGAACCCGTTTTATACTGTAATAGAAAACACAACTCGATTTTTAATATATTCGACTACCTATATAGTCAAAATTTTATAAATACCTAATGAATGCTTTCGTTTGGATATTGTCTATATCAATATCCCAGTAACTTTAATACGTTAAAAATATATAATTGTTGCTTATTTCTAAGGTTTCATTGACCTATTATCTTATAACCTATGTCACCATAAAATTGTAAACATAAACAGTTTATTATCTTTCTCCTTTCTATCTTATTAGATTATGAAGGTAATAACGTAAGTTTAGGGCAAGTTACTTTAAAAATAATAAATAGGTATCTTATTAAAATAATTTTAAACTAACTGCTGATAGATGGCACGTCTGCATTATAAAGATAAGCGTTTATTACAATTTTGAGTGACACGTATCGAGCATTTATGAAAGTTTTAAACATAGCATTTGTTAGAAACATAAATTTTCATATGCATTTTGTGCACAAAGTATATTAAATAGCATATCCAACGTCATAACTGGCTCGTTGTCTCAACCGTAATCAATGGAGCCCTCTATTATAAGTATTTTGATACAAAGCGCTTCATGTGGCTGCAAGGCTACTGACCTCACGTTCTCATCTTCAGCATATCCACACAGCCAAAGTAAAAACAGATAATTTTATTGATTGTTAACCTCTATAGTCTCATTGCTTGTAAATTCCTTATGTGATAAGAAGAAATCCAGAAGCATTACAGCGACATAAATTGATCTATAAACATTATTTCTGAAAACATTTGATTCGAAACTACGCTTTGAAATTATATTCTCAATTTTAACTTTGGTTTTAGTTCTGTAAGTCTTCATTGATATGCTGAATGTATAAAATAATCAATTTTATTCTATTCCCGACTGAATCTTAGGTAAATGGTACAGTTATTATATCAAACATAGCGATACGTATTTGTGTATAACAAAGACTTCTATGTATAGGTACTACATAGAAGTCTCAGGCTTATACTCATGAACATACGCATGTTCGACCTTGTTTGTCTTACACTAAATTAGGGACATAGAGTCGTGTAGGCTAATAATATGAAACGTGACAACATAGATCGTAATAAAGAGCGCTAACCCTATCTCTCAGTACCCCTTCGGACATATTGAGCGATGCTCGAGTGTCAATACTAATATTATAATGAGCAAAAGTTTGTAATCTTTCATCTTTCAAAAAAAATCTTTCACCTACGGGAAATTTAATTATACGCGGGTGAGATTTACGGCAGGCGAAGCCGCGGGAAAACAAATAGTCTTAAATAATTCACAAATCTGACTCATATTTATATATAGTTTTCTTTTTTACTTCTATTTCACAAATAATGGAACAGAAAGTGTATACTCTTGCCGCTATTCAATAGAAATAATGATGAAACAACAACAACCGAAATTATTGACACAAACTGATCAGAAGGCCTATTCAGGAAGCCTACTCTAATTCACCGAAAAACGAAATATCGTTCGAAATTTCGGACGTTTCCTACCACAATTACGTTCGTTCCGAATATTCAACGAACGAAAATGTTTGACATATTTATTTTCTAAACCTACTCTATTTCACGAAATGACAAAACGAACATTTGAGTTTGACATCTAATTGTTCGGAATTCTTACCTCAAATTGACGAAGTAAAAAATGTTACCTTTTCATTTTCGTTAGCAATTTTTTATTTTCGAAATGCGGTCTATATTATAATTAATCGAGTCAGCTCTCAGTAAAGAACGATTAGACCGTAGAAGAAATCGGCGGCGGCTTCGAAATAGCCTTAATATAAGAAATATTCTCAACACTGAGTTTGTAAGTAATTACAGACTCAGTTGTGAATTATTTCAAGAACTATAACCTTTACTGCGTCCACAGGCAAGATCTCATGCCATCGAGTCCACAATTAAAGTTGGAAGATATTTTATCGTAGTTCTTGATAAAAAAAAATTGCATGCCTACCATTATGCATTTCATAATTTTATGATTCTTACAGCGTTGAATTTTTATGCCCGAGGTAGTTACCAAGGATTCGTATCTCAAAACATGGATGAGCCTATGGCCCAACAAACAGTTTCACGGTGTTAGGAGGTTAAGACTCTCCTCAATTCACCAGATAGGTATTATAAGAAAATATATTATTCCCTCAAAACCAAAATGATTATTAAGAGACAGTGAGTACCTAATAGTTTATTGTTTATTTTGGCTTTATGCATGAATTGTGGATAAATACCTATAGAATTATGTCATTAATATTACAGATTTTACGAGGCATATAGGCTATGCCATTATACCTGAAAAATATGACTGATAAAAAGTAAATTTATTACTAAAAACGAAATTAATAAAAAGTAAATTTATTACTAAATTTGCCGAAAAACTAAATATTAGTTTCATACTTACTTATAAAGTCTTTTACTGAATTGTCAAGATAAATTTCAGAACTCACAATTATTAAATAAAATATTAGTAAACACTGAACAGTTTGGTGAAAACTTGTAAAACTTTTGGCGGGATGAGAATCGTTTGTATTATACGGATATTTAAGATTGCCATACGTTGATTATAGCCATCGTATAAATGAAAGGTTGTTTTTAAATATGTCGGTTAATACTGTGGATAAAAGAGTTCTTTATAGTGTCTTGATCAGTTGTAACGAAAAATAAAATTCATTAATATACTAAATTTTTCGTTATATTATTATAATATTTTATGTTTAAACAATGTTTAGCCACTAAAATTTTATTTAAAAGAAATATATGTATTGTTTAAAATTATATATTTCAAGTTACGGTAAAAACCGGAATTTGACATTATAAGAAATCCAATAACGCCATTCACTCCAATCGATCACGAAAATTGACTTTGGAATCGAACATTCGTTGGTGTATACGAAAATGATAAAGAGTAGCGTTACATGCGAAATTTCGTTTTATTTTCGTTCGTAAACGAAATTTCGTTTTCGAGAAAGCGAGTAGGCCTCCTGTTTCTGTTAAAACGAAATTTTGTCTATTTTCGAAAATTTATGATATAATTATTTATAATGCAATGGAGGTAGGACCTGACACTGCTTCTGTTGCACAGATAATCTTCACGGATATGTTTTGAATAAAATAATGAAAAGTTACAAAGTTTTCCGAAATTTTGTTCGTTAACGAATAGAGTAGGCCTTCAGGTATGGAAATTGTACTCAAACAAATTGTTTTTTTTTCTAAATTCATAAGTAGGCATTTGCTCCTCTAAAAACAGATAAGCGGAAGAAGTCACCAAACAAAATTCATGTTAAAAATGATACAGCTGTTGGTTGATCCGAAGGATGATTTCAATCTTAAACTAAAATATTCTTTGAAGTACAAAGCACATTCTTTGTTTATTGATATTGGTCAACGGTAAGTACTGAGACTCTATACACAAAGAGTAGCTCAGTGGTTATAAATAATAATTAAAATACGTGTGGTCCAACAACAGACGCAGATAACAAGAAAAAACGTTAAATTCCATTAGACATGATAACAAAAGGTTATTTAATAGAAGAAATAAATATTACAGACTCCTTTATTTTTTCATTTCACTTTACTGGTTTTATGAATGTAATTTAAAGTCATTTCTTTTCAATGTAAATAATCGTCTCTTTCGGTTGCAATAAAACGAAATACACCATAAAGCACATGTAACTTAACAATAGACTTATAAATATAACTTTTATCACATAGTGTTTCCACCAGTCGGTCATCTCGTTGCCTAAGCCAGCCCATAAGCCAGTAAACAATATACTTTCAACGGTGCAAGTAATTATCCAAAACACGTGCCACACTCTTACGTGCCGGAAACGAACCTTAAACTCCATCAAACAGAATAAGTAAATGAAAGCTAGAAATACGTAAAAACCTCTTTTAACGGTACTCGCCTGTGGTACTATCAAAAGTAACAGCATTATCTGGTAATGCGAAAACAAAAGTATCACAGCAGCAAATATAGAACAATTTATGATAGCAGCTATAGAGAGCAAACGCGACACGAAGAACGCATACCATCCTAAATATTGGACTAAAGCTGCAGTCGCATCTTGTGGTTCTAGACCACGTCTTCTCGAATTCGGAACGTAAACAGGAATATCCGGTTCATCTTGAACAATTTCATCGCAGTATTTGTGCCGAGGCGGCGCTGATAGCCATGAGGGTAAAGATTCGGCGTTTTCAACAATTTTTTCAGCCCATACCGCTATGGAACCCGGTCTAGGAGCAGGAATTACAGGAGGTGGTGTGATTTCAACCTCCTCTATTATATAGGACTTAGTACCTCTTCGTGGAGCAACTCTTTCAATTATAGACAATGGCCTTACATATTCATCGTCGCTACCTGCCGTCGGTGACGTTTGTGATCGATCGTGATAAGACATTGGTTGTAAGTATTCAGAACCAGAGTCCGAATCAGTATAAATATCGTCATAACATACTTCCTGAAGAGTGCTTCTTGGTGAAAATTTAATTAAATCACTATTCGTCTTATTTTGCATATCATCTGAACGATTTGACGATATTATTGATTCTTGAAAATCAATTGGTGGTTTACTAATCGATTCATAAATAGGTTCTGCAGGCTCATCTCTCTTAGTTATCGTGTCATCAGAATTAGTATCATTAAGTGGCAGGTAAGAGTTATTCCACGGATACTTTTTGCCGTTCAGTTTTTCTCTTTCATACCTTCTGTATAATGTTGCAGTGCTCGACATTCGCATACACGATACTATGATGCTAACTGCTTGCATTGTTGCTATAACAAAATGATATAAATTATTAACTACTGTATATTATGAACAATTAATTGACAATTATTTATTTCTGAAACTGTGTGCTAGCTTGATAGTACAGTGGTAAGCACGTTGGTTTGTGTTTCATTCGTTATTAGTAAATAATATTTATCAATAGAATGCAAAATAGATTAAATATAGATATCGATACTTTCAGTATGCTCAAACTCATATTAGCTTAAATATTTACGTGTAGGTGTAGCGTTTCCATGCTTACACAATTTTGTTATACAACCTTCAAGTTTCAAATAGATATATATCCAAAACAATTCTTTAACTAATTTGTAAATCACCTTAATTTATGGCTTACCTTTGTCATAATCAGGCTTAGTGAAATGGGCCATCAAATCCAAAATGTTGATGACCGCGTTCGGAGCAGCATGAATGAAAGCCTGCAGGAACAAATAGAGTTCTATGGAACTTGGAGCTTTCGCCCTCCTCAAAGCCTCTTTAGTTCTACATTCGTCGTCAGCCCAGGACGCACACACTGCTTCTGTCCACCAGAAAATGAGATAACAGTATCTGAAAACCAAAACATTTTGCAGATTATCAGCATCATCACAGACACGATGAACAGTTTTTTTAAATGATTTTAAAATAAAATATGCCAGCAGTTTAGTCAGGAGGGATAAGTTTTAAACTTCCGGTCGTCATATAATTTTAACCGACATCTTCAAGTGAAATTCATATTTCAAGTAATTTGTTGAGCCTTAATATATAATAACTAAGCACTTCCAAGAGATTACTCCATAAATATTATTTCAATAAATATGTACTCTAGACATGACCGTAACTGGAGACATTTTCCCAGGGGGCCTATAATGCACCCGCCTAACTCTACCCATAGAATATATCGTATCCATATTTATGGCGATATTTTATTTTATTTTTCTGTCTTTTAGTAAATAAATGACTAAGTTGGTAAAATTGCTGTCAAATCCATAATCATAGTTTAGAACTGAGTTCTTGAAATAAACAATACCCAAAAATCATGATAAATACAGGTCTTCTTTATGTATGGACTAAAATTGTCGAATAAGAAGAATTGGCCACTAGTCATAGCGGGCCTATTGCGTATTGGTAGATGTTAAAGACTGCAAATGCAGCCGGAACCAAAAAGCTCGAGTTAATACGTATTTGCTCGACCCTTTCCAAAGTTGCTTAACTTCCGTATCGCAGACCAAATACTCTAACCATTGCGCCATCAAGCTCCTTATATATTGATTAATACATCAATTATACATATGACGAAACATAAAAGGATATAGACATTTTCATTATAAAATCACCAATTTTCTTAAACAATTGTAAAATAATAATTATTCTTAAAATCACCTTCCGATGGCAGCCATAGGGAAAAATAAGCAGTTTGCGAACTGTCGAGCTATCCACTTCAGGTCTTTTTTCTTTAAATTGACTGAATAGGCAGTTAACTCAGTTTGCAGACCAGGAGGAGGGGACGCCAGAGTGAAGACCAACGTTATTATCGCAGGAAATAATATAAATATAGTGCAAAGGGCAGCAATCCTGTCGAAGTAAACAAATAAAATTATTACTTACGTGTAGTCAGTGTAAAAATGTATTTGATTGAATGTTAACTAACGAAATTGATCGTGCATAAATGCTTTCATTGATTTTTATGTAAGGCACACATAATAGATACGCTTATCCATAGCATAACAATGTCCATAGCCATACTCTTTATAACATTAAAAGACCCAGACAGAGTTGCGACTTTGAAGTCAAAATATTCTTTATTCAAATAAACTTATTAAAAATACCATTCAATCGTTCATCATTTTTTGTCTGATAAAAAGGTGTCCTTTAGTCTAGCAGCAACAACCTACTGGATTTTGTAATGAATTCTTGATCCATCAAGTCTCATTTATCAGTCCGTTACGAATTAGGGACGACTAATTTAGTTACGTAGTTTCGGAAATAAACAAGAGTCTTTACGCTACTGGACTGACGCGCCACATTAAACTTTAAAATAACTTTTCAGGTCATCAATTTAATCCCCTATTTATCAGTATGGGACATCAATCCATAGTGCAGTAGCTCCACGCGTAAGGTATATTTTCTATCCCAAAGCACTTTAGATGCTCATTTTCTTAAAATCCTGCCAGTATTCGCTATTCTAGAGTATTAGAAATTGGAGTAATAGTGGTAAAGATTTCATTTAAAAAAAAATATTTTAACGTGCTGATTTGCTGACTACTCCAATATAGACTAGAATAAATATTCCAGTCTAATAAATTTTAGAAGGGCGAAATACTGTTATGTTATGAAACCCAAAATTGAAATAATTTATCGATCAAAGTCAAACGTATATGTAGCGCCTACTGAATTCTATGAGTAGACAGTAAACTTTTCTAGTGCCTAATACTAAAATTGTAGCAAATACACTGATCGAATTATATATATATATATAATTCGATCAGTGTATTATTTATTTTAATTTACATTTATATATATATAAATGAATGCCTATTTTCCTTGGTCACGCCATTACACGTGAACGGCTGAACCCACAGAACATAGAGAGAGTATGTTCTGCGGCTGAACCGATTTGACTAATTCATTTTTTTTTGTGTTTGTTATTGTCAGGAGAAGAAGGAAACAGACCTTGGTTAATATAAACTTTTTAAATGTAACCATAAGACGTTTGACATAAAATTGACAGAATGCGTGCTGAAAATTTTCATAATTAAGACAGAGACAACACACTTTTTACAGTAATACTCATGGCTGCATGTGAGGTTACCCAAATATGTCAGTTTTCCAGTTGATTTTAAACTCTACCTATAAAATATTAAGGTTACAGTAAAATGGATTATTTTCATAGATTCTACATAGAGATGCATCTTAATATATTATTTTATTCTTTAATTAAAGTAAAGACAATTGAAATCGATTTTTATAAGGCTTTTAATAAGTATTACCCTTAAATTGCCGATATCATTTATGGAACAATCGTTAGCCGTGTTATACATAACACACATAACAGTACAACTTTATTATCAGTACGACCAAATAAGTGTAGTTGTTCATTTTACTTACGGCTTCTCTTTATTACGATAATGATCGAATAGTAAAGCGAAATCATAGCACATTAGAGTGAGGTAGACCACCAATCCTCCACAAGATGGCAGCACCCGATGGATCAGCAGGGATTGCCATGCCGGCAACTTCCATCCCAATACCTCACCAGACACATCTTCATCCAGCTCACAAGTCACCATTTTCGTAACTCACGACGCTATTACATTCTTATTTGCAATAATTAAAGAGTCTTAAATTCCCAGGAAATAAACGAACGTACTTTAACATAACGATATAGTAAACACTTTTTTTTTTTACTTAACTAATATAAAATCTTGTGATTCTTTGTTTTGTTTGTAACTAATCGAAAGTTAGTTCTGAATGTAAAATGTATGCTCCTCACACCCATTGATAATGGTGATAAGATAATTTAGTGAGTCAATTTGATAACTCGATGACACAGTTCTGTATGTTGGTTTTCTACATAATCATGGGTTTTGTTTTAAAAGTTAGGTTTATTGTAAACAAGTATGACATTTATATATAGTTTAAAATATATATATATCGCACACCTAGATCTAAACTAAGACAACTCAAAAAACTAATGTGGAGGTCTGACAATACATTTGTTTACGTGGCAGGAGCGCGACCACTGTTGATTCAAAAAAAGAAACCTAAAGTTATCTAGCGGCTCATCCCCGAACCTTTATTGAATCTGTTATGTTGGATAGATGCTTATGATCACCGAGTATTTGAATATTGTAGTAAGTCAAAACTCACTCAAATTTTTGAGTTGTCTCAATTTAGATCTAGGTGTGCGATATATATATATATATATATATATATATATATATATATATATAGACGCCATATATAATAATATTGGACTATAGGTGGATAATTCAATATAGTGATGCGACTCGAGTAGAATTTTGTGATTCGTGTCGCTCGAGCCAATTAACTACCTTATTTGTGTTTTCTAATGACTCGAATAAAAAAAAAATCAAACGTTGCTATTCAATAGGGTATTTGACACTTCTCTGAAAACTACTTGAAATCGTTGTTTGCTACATTATAAGCACACTGTCATTATATTTCATAGGTATCTTTTCTATTTATCGTGAAAATAATTGTTAAAATTTAAATAGCCAAAATCGCGCGAAAATCGCTGCTCTATGTAATGGCGCTGATCGTGACGTCACAGGCCAGTAAATACGTCAAATCAATAACTCACAACTGTATTAAGCGTAGACAGAGAAAGCAATAGACTAATGGTATGTTCTATCTCATTCATCGGGAAATGAAATGACTTAGATAGATAGATAGATAGAATATTCTTTATTGCACACACAAAGACAATATACACTTATATGACAAAAACAGGAGACGTACAATTGGCGGCCTTATCACTAAAAGTGATTTCTTCCAGGCAACCTTGGGATGGAGTTTAATATAAAAGACCTAATGATGGGGTAGTGGATGGTGTACAAATAAACAATTTATAAATATACATAATTGATAATTGTTATATACTTAATTATAATTTACCTACATATATTATAATATAATAAATATTATCATATAAAATATAATACATATATAAAAATATATAATACCTATATACATACTTTCATGGACAGGTAGTGCTCTCTGACAAGTTTCCTAAATATATTAAGAGAATTAGCTTTTCTAATCGACAAAGGTAGCGCATTCCATAGGCGTACACCGTGGACGGTAAAAGATTTATCGTAGTACCTAGTGGAATGTATTGGCATTTCCAGCCGCAGGTTTTCTGATGATCTCAAGAAGCGGGGATGGGACTCTTTGACGAATTTGAAACGATCTTTGAGATAAGAAGGGGTAGTGGGATTAAAAAGTATATTAAATAACATGTTTAAAATATGTGCATTCCGGCGAAATCGAATTGGCAGCCACTTGAGTTTCTCACGAAATTCGGAAACGTGATCATATTTGCGTAATCCAAATATGAATCTTATGCAAAAATTTTGAAGGCACTCAAGCTTGTTCAGCTGCATTTCTGTAAGGTCAAGATAGCTAACGTCGGCGTAATCGAGAATGGGCATTAGAAGAGATTGTGTGATCGCAATTTTAGTGGCAGTAGGCAAGAAATTGCGAAGCCTTCTTAAAGACCCAGCAGATGCAAAAAGTTTGCGACTCACTTTCTTGAGTTGCACATCCCAATTTAAGTTTTTATCAATACATACACCTAAATTTCTAACATGATCACTAAATTGTAAGGAGCTTCCATCGAACACTATTTGCGGGATCTGTTCAAACTTTACTTTAGCTCTAAGCCTTGAGCTGCCCACTACGACAACTTGAGTTTTCGTGGGATTCACCCAAAGCCCATGCTTGCGGCTCCATTCAGAAATCTGAGCTAAATCTTTATTAAGACTTTCAATGGCAGAATTAATATCTTCAGCGGGGGCTTTCGTATATATTTGCAAATCGTCTGCATAAAGATGGTAGGAAGAAAGTAACTGACAAGAAATTGTGTTAATATAAACAGCAAAAAGAAGAGGAGATAAAACGCCACCCTGCGGCACCCCGGCAGTTAAGTCACACCAACAAGAGAAAGAATCATCAACGCGGACGCGCTGCCGGCGTCCAGACAGGTAACTTCGAAACCAATCAACTGCTGGTGGAGAAATGTTAATAGAGCGTAATTTTTGAAGCAAAACGTCAAAATCAGCAGTGTTGAATGCGTTGCTAAAGTCTAGTAGACATAAGATCGTGATGGTTCCAGCTTCCATTCCTAGCCTAATATCATCCGTTATGTTGATAAGGGCAGTAGTAGTGCTGTGACCTGGTCGGAAACCTGATTGGTAGGGATTCATAAGGTTGTTTTTAACTAGGAATACGCTAAGTTGGTTGTGAACAAGACGCTCAAGGACTTTAGATAGGAATGGGAGGATGGATATGGGACGATAATCAGACAGGGAGACAGGGTTAGATTTCTTAGGAAGTGGTGTAACTTGAGCTTCTTTCCAGGATGACGGAAATTCACTAACAGATATAGAAAAGTTAAATATATGTGTAAGCACAGGAAGAATTTCATCGAGGATTGGTATTACCATTTTCCGGCTGACACAGTCATTACCCACTGCATTAGAGGTAATTGACAAGACGTTCTTTTTAACATCACACTCAGAGAATTGATTAATGAAGAAAGAATCATGATTAGGGCGGGGCAGAGATGAAATTGATTGAATGGTATTTGCTTTCGTGGTCTCGTCAAATTGAGGTGACGAGGAAAAATGTTGATTTAATAAATTTATATCAATGATACTAGGTAAAGCCGTTTGTCGAGATTTCCCGATCCCTATAGAGTTAAGAAACTTCCAGACTTTTGCTGGGTCACCATTTTCAACGGAACTGTGGATGTAGTGGCGTTGTGCTTTCCTACATACTCTATTGCAGCGATTACGAATTTCAACGAATTTCTCCCAGTTTGCGCTAGTGGGCTTATGTTTGTACTTAGTTTTGGCCACAGCTTTAAGGTGACTTAACGCTTTAATATCTTCACTAAGCCAAGGTGAAGGGGGATGCTTAATCTTTACGGAGCGTATCGGGGCATGTACATCAAACAACTGAGTCAGTTGTGCAACTAGATAGTTAAGCTTTTTATCAACTGTTTTAGATGCATATAATTGAGTCCAATCAATGTTATGAGCATCATGTCGGAGACTATTGATATCCATACCACTAAAATTGCGCTGAAGAAGAATTTTTCTTTTTTCCCTCGGAGATTTAACTTTATAAGAGACAAAGATAAGGTCATGATAAGAGAAGGCATCAGCTGGACATTGCCCATGCTTAGCGACACGTTCTAAGGAAGAGACAAAAACAAGATCGAGAAGAGAAGGAGTACAGTTAGGGAAATGGTGAGTAGCATTTAAAGGTAGAATAAAAAGGTTACTAGACTCGATGACAGTGGACAATGCTGAAAAGCGAAAGTCTTTCTTGAGAAGGCAAGTGTTAAAGTCGCCCATAATAATTGTTTGACTGTAAGAAGGGGTAAGAGATTGCAATATATTTTCAAAGGAAGAGAAAAAATCCACGCGACATGATGGGCTGTAGTATACTCCAAGCAGGATTTTAGTATGCCGCAGAGTTACCTCTAGGAATAAGTGCTCCCCTGCGCTAGGTGGCGGCGGCTGTGGTGACATGTTAAGTACATGGTATGGAATATGTGATCTAAGATATATAGCAACTCCACCTCCCCCACCAGAGGCACGGTCATTTCTGATCAACTGGAAACCCGGTAAGGAGTATAAAGTTGAAGGAAGACATGGCTTTAGCCAGGATTCGGAAACAAGAATGGCGTGGATATCTTTACAGTCAAAACTAGTCAGCATGTCTGTAAAATGGGCTGGAATGCTTTGGGCATTGATATGAATAACATTTAAGTTATTTGGAACATCAGAAAAATGCGATATGATGACATCATTAAGCGAAGGTAAGCTAGAAAAGCTATCATTGCTGCAAGCTGATAAAAAACTATCTGCATTATCATCACTGTCGTCCATATATGGAATACCGAATTAATAAAAATATATTTATTAAAAATATTTATAAAAATAATATATATATAAAAATAAAATATATGTATATATCAACCTATACACAATATTTAAATACTAAAAATGGGTTTATTTAAATCCACAACTTCCATCTGCCAGTTGCATGTAGAAGATCAAAATAATGTTCTAAACAAAAGTTGAAAAAACAATCACGGTGCTAATGAACAACCAGTACCAGTGCAACATTTCTAATCAGGTATATAAATTATGTAATGTGTGAGTTGCCCTAGTATTGTTGCTGACTCAAAAAGTATAACAGTTAAAATAAAATAAATTACAATACAACACCACAGAATTGATTTATACGAACAAAGCAAACAAAAATAATAATAATAAAACAAGGACAATAATAAGAATAATATTAATTAACCATGTAAAACCTTTTCAGATTGAGAATCTAAACTGGACTTTTTGAAAAATAAAATATACATAATTTATACTAGATACTGATAGTCTAAATTTTAAACTTTTAATGTTATTATTAAATAAGAATTGCCTTCATTAAAAATTAATCCTATATCTCTATACTTGCTAGGAAATTTTAAATACTATGTCAGTTTAAATATTTGATTTGTTCGTGGAGTTATAGTTTTTTTGCACTTGTTAAGTAATTTTTATTTACCATGCCATAATTGTTGTATAAAAATATGAGATGTTCATAATTTAGTCGCAAATCGGTTATTATATAGTGCTGTGTAGACAGAACCACAGATCATATTCTTCATAAATATCATAACTTATTTGTGCCATAATCTAATCTTCAAATATTATCTGTGCTATTCTTTTAGAAATACACTGATTATAATTTGTTTGTATCTTTATAATAAAGAAATGCTAGAAAATATATTGTGAAATAATATTTGTTATTATGTTTTTTAAG